CACTTTTCAGATTTCTATTTCTAACGGTTCAATTGTAATTTTTATTAAGTACTTTTTACAACCACTTTAGTACTAATTTGGAGTAGTAAAAGCTATGTACAAATTCCTGATTTCTATCTCTATACCAAAATTCCGAGTTTTACTTCCAAAACGTCCCGGTGTAATATAGTTTTAGTCATTTTTAGTATCATTTTAGTACTATTTTCTAAAAGATATTTTTGCACAACATTCTATTTTAATATCTTAAGCTACATATTAATTTTCAGATAAGTATATCTACTGGTTCTATTCAAATATAATATTTAGTACTTTTTAGTACCTCTTAGTACTAAATTCCAATTTTTTCACACGTGCCTTTTGGAGTGTTATTGAAAAAATTGGGCTTAACTCTAGTTTAGTAAAAACGATCAGATGTTTCTGAAATTTTTTCCAGAGGTAGGTATTTTTACCCTAATTATGGGGATATCTTGGGAGACGTACGCGGTTATTTGACCCGGAAGTTTGGGTACGGTTATCCGCTTCTACGGATCCGGTTAATATAAAATGGGTATGATTTTAAAGGTTATAAAATAGCTAAAAACTGGGTTTGGGTCCCCGATTTTTTTTGAAAAACTTAAGAGAGTTTTTGAACATGGGTCCTTATTCAAATGATAGACCACAATTTGCCCTTTCCAAAATGATGCGATCTGTTGTGGATCAAAAGATATGGACCTTAGATCCCTACAAAAACAAGGAAATTCCGTCGCGTTGCCGGTGTTGGTATCTGTCCATAGGAGAAAATCTTAAATCCCCGGCCGAAGGCCGGTTACCCAAAAAATCTATTATATTTAACAAGAGATTCTGTCGCGTAGCCGGTGTTGGTATGTGTTCATAGAAGAAAGTCTTAAATACCCGGCCGAAGGCCTGCTACACAAAAACAAATTCTATTTAAAAGAAGTTTCTGTCGCGTAGCCGGTGTATGTATCTGTCCATAGGTGAAAGTTGTAAAATCACGGCCGAAGCCCGACCATCAAAAAAAAAAAAAAAAAAATCTATTTAAAAGGAGATTCTGTCATGTAGAAAGATTTTCCTTGGTTTTTCACCATTTTTATTTATTTTGAAACAAAAAGTTTGAGAAAAAAAATTATTTGAAATATGAATTGTCTGTGTATTCTAACAAAAATATTTTTTTCACGGCAACATGTTTAGAGGTGCCCTGTTCGGGAACTATAATACATACAGCCGACTTCAAGGTGTCAAATAAACGGCTATCTCCTCTACTTCTCGAAAATGTTTTATTCAAACTTTTTTGAAATAGAAAATATGAGAAAATGGTAATTTGAAAAAAATGTTTTTTTTATTTTTACAAAAAATATTTTTTTTAAGGGCAACATGTTGTAAGGTGCCCTGATCAGGAACTATGAAACCTACACGCGATGTCAAGGTACCAAATGGAAGTCTATATCTTCTATTTTACAAAAATGATATATTTCAAATTGTTTTGAAACAAAAAATATGAGAAAAAAATTATTTGAAATAAAAAATTATGTTTCATATTTACAAAATATATATTTTTAAGGGCAACATGAGGTGTGTCTGGTTACTTTCCCTGCAGGAATTGTCCAGTAACTTCTTTCTGAGAGAGTAAGGTAGTTTTATTCTCTTTTGCAAGAAAAATGCGAAAAGTAAACAGACGGCATCCCTGCAGAAGCTTGCAACTAATCAGCTGATTTGTCAAAACAAACCAATTTGTCCGCCATTATAAAGAATTAAAAGAAAGAAAACACAACCAGTTTAACAAGTTTTTGAAATAAAAAGGAAATAAAATAAAAAAATGAGCAATGAGCAATGAAAAATGAGCAATTTACTGCCACTGGCTACAGAGACACACTGATCTTCTTCCGTCATTTTTCTAAAAATGCTGGAAATAGTCTTTTATTTTCCTATTACATATTAATACTTACGTTTTTCTCGTTTTGTAAAGTTTTTCTCCAAAAACAATTAGTCTTGCTAATTCCAAAAAAAATTATTTTCAAATTGAAAGCACAAAAATAAATAAACAAACAATAGAAAACATCTGATAGAATGTCGATGTATGAGAAGAAGAAGAGTTGCAAGAGATTGCAAGAAGAAATTTTTCCAGCAAGAATTTGCAAACTCTCACTGAAAGAACTGTCAAAATTTCTCTCTCCAACCGCTCTCTTTTGCAGAACTTTTGGGTTAACAGACGACTTCCAGTAACAATTTGTAACAATTGTTACAAACTTTAGGGTAACCAGACACACCTATGTTTGGACTTACACTGTTCGGGAACTATAATACATCAGAGTACCGAATTAAAGTTTATCGCCTCTACTTTTCGAAAATATTTTAATCAAAAATTTATTGAATCAAAAAATTTCAGAAACAAATTCTTCGAAATAAAAAATTATGTTTTATATTAAAAAAAAAATATTTTTTTAGGGCCACATGTATGGGGTGCCCTGTTCGGGACCTATAAAACATATAGCCGACCTCAAGGTGCCAAATGAATGGCTATTTCCTCTACTTTCCGAAAATATTTTTTCCAAAATAATTTTGAAACAAAAATGTTGAGAAAAAATTATTTGAAATAAAAAATATCTATTTATTTTTACAAAAAATAATTTTTAAGGGCAACCTGTTTGGAGGTCCCCTATTTGGGAACTGTAACCGACCTAACGGTACCAAATGAAGGGTAACCAATGAAAGCTCATCTCCTCTATTTTTCGGAAATATTCTTTTCAAAATTATTTTGAACAAAAAATATAGAAAAAATTATTTGAAATAAAAAATGCTATTTTATATTTTTTTAGGGCTAGATGTTTGAACGTGCCCAGTTCGGGAACTATAAATCATACACCCGACCTCTGGGTACCAAATGAAAGGTGTTCACCTCTACTTTTCGAAAATAATCTATTCAAACATTGTTTGAAATAGAAATTTTGAGAAAAAATTATTTGAAAAAAAAATATTTTTTTTACAAACATAATTTTTTCAGGGCATCATATTAGGAGGTGCACTGTTCGGGAGCTATGGAACATACATCCGACATCGGGGTACCAAATGAAAGTCTATCTCTTCTATTTTACAAAAATTATTTATTTCAAATTGTTTTGAAACAAAAAATATGAGAAAAAAATTATTTGAAATAAAAAATGATGTTTCATATTTACAAAATATATATTTTTAAGGGCAACATGTTTGGACTTGCACTGTTAGGGAACTATAATACATACCGCCGACATCAGAGTACCGAATTAAAGTTTATCGCCTCTACTTTTCGAAAATATTTTAATCAACATTTTATTGAATCAAAAAATTTCAGAAACAAATTATTTAAAATAAAAAATTTTGTTTTATATTAAAAAAAAAAATATTTTTTTAGGGCCACATGTTTGGGGTGCCCTGTTCGGGACCAATAAAACATATAGCCGACCTCAAGGTGCCAAATGAATGGCTGTCTACTCTACTTTCCGAAAATATTTTCCAAAATAATTTTGAAACTAAAAATTTGAGAAAAAATTATTTGAAATAAAAAATATCTGTTTATTTTTACAAAAAATAATTTTTAAGGGCAACCTGTTTGGAGGTCCCCTATTTGGGAACTGTAAAAAAATACAACCGACCTAACGGTACCAAATGAAGGGTAACCAATGAAAGCTCATCTCCTCTATTTTTCGGAAATATTCTTTTCAAAATTATTTTGAACAAAAAATATAGAAAAAATTATTTGAAATAAAAAATGCTATTTTATATTTTTTTAGGGCTAGATGTTTGAACGTGCCCAGTTCGGGAACTATAAATCATACACCCGACCTCTGGGTACCAAATGAAAGGTATTCACCTCTACTTTTCGAAAATAATCTATTCAAACATTGTTTGAAATAGAAATTTTGAGAAAAAATTATTTGAAAAAAAATATTTTTTTTTTACAAACATAATTTTTTCAGGGCATCATATTAGGAGGTGCACTGTTCGGGAGCTATGGAACATACATCCGACATCAGGGTACCAAATGAAAGCTTATCTCCTCTAATTTTCGAAAATATTTTGCTCGAAATTAGTTTGAAGCAAAAATTTTGAGAAAACATTATTTTAAATAAAAAATGATGTTTTATATTTACAAAATATAATTTTTCAGGGCAACATGTTTGAAGGTCCACTGTTCGGGAACTATAAAACCTACAGCCGACTTCAGGGTACCAAATGGAAGCTTATCTCCTCTAATTTTCAAAAATATTTTATTCGAAATTAGTTTGAAGCAAAAATGTTAAGAAAAAATTATTTAAAACAAAAAAATGGAGTTTTATTCTTACAAAAATAATTTTTCAAGATCAGAGGTTCAGAGGTGCTCTGTTCGGGAACTATAAAACATACACCCGACTTCAGGGTACCAAATGAATGCTTACGTCCCCTACTTTTTGGAAAATATTTTTCCTAAAATTATTTTGAATCAAAAATTTTAAGAAAAATTTTTTTTTGAAATAAAAAACATTTTTTTTATTTTTCCAAAATAATTTTTAAGGGCTACATATTTGGAAGTGCCCTATTCGGGAACTATTGAACATACACCCTATTGCAAGTAATCAAATGAAAGTCCATCGTTTTTTCTTTCCGAAAAATATTTTTTTAATATTTTCAATTCCCCGAAATTTTCCCATAAAAATTAAAATATTTTTTTTTTGTTTCCGAAGCGGCAAATTTTCTCTTTTTTTATTTTCAAAATTCCAACTTATACACTAAAAAAATTAGATGCTAATCCTACCGGATCTTTAGAAGATCGTGGTAACTTACATAACTATATACACAAATAAATTCTTAAAAATATAAAACTTAAAATTAGAGGGAGGTTCCTTAAGGCTAAACGCGAAAACCTTGGCCTTTTTTCAAAAACCTTGGTCTTGAGTCATTTTTGAAAAATGGTTACGACGAATGGGCGGAATGTTTTGGGTTTTTTAGAGTACAGTTGAAAATTTCGATGATCCATTGAAAAAGAAAATCTATGCCTGAAATGATTTTTGATTCATCACCACATCGAGAATCTTTTCAATGTGGGCGGTGCAATTGGCCAGGCAAAGATCGGCATAGCGACTCAAGAAGAACATGAAGCTCTCAAGCTGTTCAATTGAGCAGGCATTGAAGCCATTGTTCCCGCGGCCAATATTATCGATCGCCGAAATGATGCTCCTTAATTTCCTCATGTATTCGGGACACTCACGGAATTGTTCCAGGTTCTTACAGCTACTGGTGGTACTGGAGTTCAGTGGTGCGGCACAATTTACCATGCGTTCTTCGAGGCTTTTGAGTTTCTCCTGCTGAGTGTGCAGGGTCTTCAGCATTTCGGGGACAGTGAGCTGTGATGCCATGGCCAATTTATCCGTTTGAGTTTTACTCAAGTTCAAATTCCGGGCATCTTCGAATATTTGCTCCAATGTATCGGGTGATTCTTCAGATTTAATGGATCCTGAGTCCGAATGATTACTACCCAAAGCCGAGAAGCTAAGACTTTGTTCCAATTCCACAGATTCAAAATCTGATTGATCCAAGTCACTGGTCTTGAGAGGTGGTGAGGCTGAGGGCCAGGTATAGGTGGCATCTGAGGTGGTGGGTGAGATGCTGACATTTGAGAATTCATACGAATCAATACCGAATCTCAGCTGACCCTGGGAGTCCTCCATGAATTCCCGGATATAATTAAAGAAGGCCTGGATCTTTGCCGAACTCAAATGCTTTCCGGCAAAGGGTAGCAGAACATCTCCCGTGGAGAACCAATACTGCGAACAATTTTCCATGTGGGGAATTTTACGCAAAATCTCCGTTTGACTTAGTGGACATTCGGCGGAGAATTTCTGATCATCGATGCCGAAAGTCATATCCCGATTTTCGACACATTTTTGACCAAAGATGTTGCTGAGAAGCATTAGGCGTTCCGATTCATAGAAGTGGATATTCATCGCCATGGTAAAGTCGCCGAAAGAGATCCAAAACTGTGATGCTTCCATTTTTTGTGTCACCGTCAAATGATGCGGTGTGTTTACCCTGGAGCCTGCGCTGACATGGGAAGAACCTGTAGAACTATGGGAATGCTGAATTTCACCGTTGAAATAGCTGCCGCTCATGTTGAAAGAGGTTGCCGAGCTATTCGTGTACTCCAACTCCTCAGAATCCTCGAGTATAGATTGCATGGTCTGCTGCTTCGCATGCTGTGATCCCGGACTCGATGGAATGGGACTTATAAGATGCTTTTGGGTATGTAAACCCTGCTGAGCGGAGGTGAACACCTGTTGTATGGGTTTATCTTTATTGGGTGTGGAAAAGTTTTGGGGATTTTCCTCACTGACCCGTAAGACAACCTGAGGTTTTTCCAATTCCGTGTGGGAGCTGGATTTCTTGGTTAGTCTTATGGGAGATTCCATTTCATTGGATCCCGTTTCGAAACCCTGATCAATAAAGCTATCCATCATCAGACGATCCTGTTCCAATTCCAATTTGTTCTTCTCGAGGTCTGTGAATTCCGTGGACACAGATTTTTGCCTTAGCTGCTTCTGCTTATCCTCCAGGCCGACCTCTAGAAGTGAGGGTAGAGACCGTGAAAAATCTTTGCTGGGTGTTCTCAACAATTCCGCCGCATCCTCATCATCACAATCACTTTCCGCTGGGGGTGAGGGTGAAGACATCACTGTCAGGGTATAGGCATCTTTGATTTTGGAGGGTGAATTGATTTGCCGCATCAGCGAACGATCCAATTCCATGATGCTAAGCTCCGTCTGACCCACAGAACTGGGTTGTTCCGAACTCACCGAGGAATTGATGGTCTTGAAGAGCAATTTCTTAACATAGGCGGTGCATTTTTTGGATTTCGAAAGGGTCCCCGTGAGGGATTTATTGCTGAGCGAGCGGCAATCGGAATCAGAATCTGTGGACACGGCTGGATTGGCCTCAACCAGGGAGTAGTCTTTTTTCCAGGTCAAAGAACGTCTCAATTTCTTTTTGCGTAGCATTTTGGGAGCCTTCGTATCCAATGGGATATCGAGAGAATCTTTTTCAGTGTTCGAATCTTCGCTAGTTGTCTGTGGAGGGAAATTGTGGCAGGTTAGAGGGAATTCTGCAGAGAGACGGGTTGGGTTTCTCAAACTTACCTTATTTATACTAGTCACACCCAAATCACTGTCCAGGGAAGCCTGGGAATTGTTGAGATTCTCGGGAATCGTGGGTTTTTCTTCCTTAACTTCTTCTCCTTCGACATTTTCCTGTTGATCTACTTCGAGAGGTAGTTCCACCTCAATGACAGAGTTGTCAAAGGAATTTTTCTCCTCTAGGGTTTCCTTGATAATATTTATGGCACTGAGCTGCTGCTTCTTGGCCTCCTTCTCTGCCTCCAATTTATTGATGGCCTCTTCGAGTAGCTGATCCACCTTATCCTTGGGTATCACATTATCCCGCGAATTTTTAGGGACAATTTCAATCACATCCTTTTTATTATGGACCGGTGTAATGTCGAAGACCACCCCATTCTTTTCCTTCAACCAGTTATAGAAAAGTTTTTCCAAATGTTGGTTCTGAAAAAACATTTTCGGCGCAAGGCGTTCATGCTGGGTGCGGCGAATCTTTTTGGGAGGGGCAAAAGGTTCCACATTGACGGAAGAACGAATCATTTCCTGAGTCCTCTTGAAGGATTGCGGCTCCACGTTTCCCAAATCGCTGAGGAATCGGACATCCCTTTTCTTTCGTTGAGTCCTTGGTTTGGTGGCGTACTTTTTTACCTCAGGACTGGGTTTGAGGACCACAGTTAGGGTGCTGACATGCAGCGGATCTTCACTGTCATCCTCGTGTATGGTTTGGCTCATATTCTCGGGGGTCTGGGGTGGTGTCAGGGGCCTGGGTAAATCCTCAAATTCCTTGGATTTGCTGGGAGTCACGGGAGAGCCGAGAAGAACCGATGAGTTTCCTCCGGGAGATTTTTTAAATCTTTGCAGAGTCTTGGACAAGCCTGAGGTCTTGGTCGGTGTCATTTTCGCCTCGAGGGATTCACGTAAATGTTTTACGCTACCCTGCTTTTCACAGACCACTTCTCCGCGTGAGATTTCCTTTTTCACATTGTTCTCCAAGATCTGACCATGTTTGGAGAATTTCGGATTTTTCTTGGACATATCCTCGATGAATTTATTGTAGAGTAGAGCCTTATCCTTGACGGATAGCTGCTGGAAAACATTTTCTGCCACCAGGCAAGTGGTGCTGGGTTGCTTCTGCAATGGCTTGGCCTTTGAGGGGCTGGAGGTTAGGGATAAAGAGGAAATACTTGAGGTTTTGTTTAACTGCCTTCTCTTGAAGAGTGGACTGGCCCGAGGACTGGGTAATTTGGCAATGAAGGTGGGCATCTTGGGCTTCAGTTTCGGGGATTTGGGTTTCACCAGGGTAGAGGTGAAATTCGGTGAGGCAATTGAAGAGAGCCCAGGAGAAATGGGTTCCGTGGGAGTTAGAGGCTCTTCTTCTGCGGCATCAACGGTTCCTTGAGGCTGCTGTGTTGAGGTTTCCTGAGGCTCCTCCTGTGGCTGTTCTGAGCTCGATTTCCGCATAATCGAATGCATTTTATTGTTGAAGAGCAAAGCCATTTGCTTGACCTTGGATTTCCTCAACATTTTAGGGCTCAGGGTGGCTGACTTCAGGGGAGAATTGCTAACCTTAGCTGCGGAATTTACCGCAGCTTCTGGTGACAACATCAAAGCCATCTGCTTAACCTTAGATTTCTTAAACATCTTCGGACTTAGAGTCAAAGTTTTGTTGGGCGATATGTTCTCCTTATCCTCCTGCTCATAACGCTTCTTCAGCTCTCCAACATTGCTGAGATTCGCCAGCTTGGCTTCGGATTTTTGTTTATTTTTCCTTTTCATCATGGGAGAGGGTGACTTTTGGGCCTTACTGCGAAATGAGGCCACAGCAGAGGCCACTTTGCCTTTGGTCTTCAATTTTACTGGTGTACTCTTACCCGAACTATCCGGAACCTCAACATCTTCATCGAAATACTTCATGAGGTTATCAATACTCCGTAGCAGGACAGTTTTATTCATGCTCGCATCGAAATCATTTTGATGTTCCAAAGCGTTGAGAAATTGATCATCATCGATGTTGGTACATTCGAATAATTCCTCACGGGTCATTGTGGCGACCATGGTATGGTGGCGAGGCCGGCGTTGGGATCTCCTTTGACGGTTGTTCCGTTCAATTTCCTCCGACAAGGTAACGAAGTCATTAAAATCACGATCATTGAAATCCGTGGTATTCACAACCAAACGTTGAGTAGTTCCACCTTCAGCCTGTTGGCTCAGATCCAAAACTTCTTCGGTGTTTTGAGTTTTAAGAACCATGTTCAAGATTTGTTCTACGGTGGGATAAATTTTGAAGGTTTTTTTACGAATACGAAAATCTGTTTCTAAATGTTAACGTTAGACGTTCACACAAGTTACTGATGCTGTGTCACTCACCACGGAGAACTTATATACCAAAAATTGCGGAAGACTGCTTAAGCAGGTAGTCAGGTAGAAAAATGTATCCTCTGCTTGGATTTACCACCCACAAGAAGAGTATCATAAAAATTTTGTTCTGCAAATTTTCAGAAGCAGCCTACTAATGACAAATTGATCCCTTTTCTGTCGCTGGGTGACAGATAAACTTCGAGATCTACTTTAATTAGTACCTGCAGAGATTGAAGTGGCTATGTGGCGGTATTTCGCGAAATTAAAGGCAGCTGCTTTGTTAGGCGAACTTCGTAGAAAATTATGCTAATTACCAGTTACGAAGAAATGACAGTCGGATAGAGGAAAATGGATTAAAAAATTAATTTCCATAATTTTTTAAAAAGAGCGGATTTCTAAAAAAATATTTTTAAGGATCTCCACAGGGCGTGGATTTTTTAAAAATTAATTTTAAGGGTCGAACATAAGGCGTGGATTTTTTAGGGATATTTTTTCAAGGACTATCAACAGGCGTGGATTTTTTAAGGATATTTTTTCAAGGACTATCAACAGGCGTGGATTTTTTAAGGATTATCAACAGGCGTGGATTTTTTAAGGATATTTTTTCAAGGACTATCAACAGGCGTGGATTTTTTAAGGATATTTTTTCAAGGACTATCAACAGGCGTGGATTTTTTAAGGATATTTTTTCAAGGACTATCAACAGGCGTGGATTTTTTAAAGAGTCACGGGAGAGCCTAGGAGAGTCGACGCGTTTCCTCCGGGAGATTTTTAAAATCTTTGCAGAGTCTTGGACAAGCCTGAGGTCTTGGTTGGTGTCATTTTCGCCTCGAGGGATTCACGTAAATGTTTTACGGATCCCTGCTTTTCGCAGACCACTTCGCCGCGGGAGATTTCCTTCTTTACATTATTCTCAAGGATCTGACCATGTTTGGAGAATTTCGGATTTTTCTTGGACATATCCTCAACGAATTTATTGTAGAGTAGGGCCTTATCCTTGACGCAGAGTTGTTGAAAGACATTTTCCGCCACCAAACAAGTGGTGCTTGGTTGCATCTGCAAAGGCTTGGCCTTTGAGGGGCTGGAGGTTAGGGATAGAGAAGAAATGCTGGCGATTTTGTTTAGCTGTCTTAAAGATATTTTTTCTAGGACTATCAACAGGCGTGGATTTTTTTTAAGATATTTTTTCAAGGACTATCAACAGGAGTGGATTTTTTAAGGATATTTTTTCAAGGACTATTAACAGGCGTGGATTTTTTAAAGATGGATGGGGGTGGATTTTTTAAAGACCAACACAAGGCGTGGATTTTTTAAAGACCAAAGACCAGTGGTCTTCGATATCACGCCGGTCCATAATAAAAAGGATGTGATAGAAATTGTGCCCAAAAATTCGCGGGATAATGTTATACCCAAGGCTAAAGTTGATCAGCTGCTCAAAGCGGCCATCAATAAATTGGAAGCTGAAAAAGAGGCCAAGAAGCAGCAGCTCAGTGCCATAAATATTATCAAGGAACCCATAGAGGAGAAAAATTCATTTGACAACTCCGTCATTGAGGTGGAATTACCGCTCGAAGTTGATCAAGCGGAAAATGCCGAAAGAGAAGAAGTTAAGGAAGAAAAACCCTCGATTCCCGAGAATCTCAACAATTCCCAGGCTTCCCTGGTGACAGTGATTTGGGTGTGACTAGTATAAATAAGGTAAGTTTGAGAAACTCAACCCGACTCTCTGCGGAATTCCCTCTAACCTGCCACAATTTCCCTTCACTGGCAACTAGCGAAGATTCGAACACTGAAAAGGATTCTCTCGATATCCCATTGGATACGAAGGCTCCCAAAATGCTGCGCAAAAAGAAATTGAGACGTTCTTTGACCTGGAAAAAAGACTATTCCCTGGTTGAGGCCAATCCTGCCGTGTCCACAGATTCTGACTCCGATTGCCGTTCGCCGTTCAGCAATAAATCCCTCATGGGCACCCTGTCGAAATCCAAAAAAAATACACAGCCTATGTTAAGAAACTGCTTTTCAAGACCATCAATTCATCGGTGAGTTCGGAACAACCCAGTTCTGTGGGTCAACCGGAACTGAACATCATGGAATTGGATCGTACGCTGATGCGGCAAATCAATTCACCCTCCAAAATCAAGGATGCCTATACCCTGGCCGTGATGTCGTCACCCTCACCACCTGCGGAAAGTGATTGTGATGATGAGGATGTGGCGGAATTGTTGAGAACACCCAGCAAAGATCTCTCCAGATCCTTACCTTCCCTTTTAGAGGTTGGCCTGGAGGATAAGCAGAAGCAGCTGAGACATAAATCGGTTTCAACAGAAAATCCACGCTTTGTGTTGGTCTTTAAAAAATCCACGCTTTGTGTTGGTAGACCCTTAAAAATATTTTTTTTTAAAATCAACGCCTATTAAATGTTCCGAAAAAAAATTATTTTTTACATTCCACCCCAATATTTGTTGATTATGAATGCCCTTTACAATAAAACCGAACCCTTCACCCTTCCCCCCACCCTTCACCCTTCACCCTAGACCATTTGCAGATGCCGGAATTTTTTTTTTTTTGTCTAATAAAACTGAAGGTAATCTCAATAATAATAAAATAATCTGTTTGAACAGTGGACAGAGAGGAGGGGGTTGAGGGGAGAGGTGGGGGTGGTACCTTTACCCCCCTCAAGGGAAAAATTTACAATTATATTTGATATGAGACAATAAAAAAAGCGGTTGACTACTACCGAGAACCGACTGAATGACTGACGTCAAGTGAAATAGTTTTAGTGGTGAGTGGCATTTTTGGATTATGAAAAAGGCAACAACAAAAAATAAAATCCAAAAGCCAGGAAAAGCGCAACACACATGACGACCATACAACAACAAAAAATGTCAACAACAACCAAGAACCCGACAAGTAAAAATGTCAATTACAATAAGAAATGGAAATTATTTCGTTTAAATAAAAAAAAATCCAGCAACAACAAAAACAACGGTATGTGTTTTTTTGCAAATAAAATTCCTTAAGCTTTTGATGATCTAAGTCTTTGCAAATGTCAAGGTTAGATTAATTAAGTAAGACGAATAAATAAAAATTTAAAAACAATTAAGTCTTCCCCCAGAGAGAAAATGGGGCTTAGATAAATTAGATAATTTTTGTTGTAATAAATTTTTATATTAAAAAAAAAAATTAAAGACAATAATTACCTGTTTACATTCCAACATAATTTTGCCGGCTTTGGGGAATTTGTGCTCTGAGACACCTTGTTAGGGGTATCCTTTTTGATTTGATTGATTGTAGTGTTGACTTTGTTAATTTATTAACATTGTTGTTGTATTTTTTAATTTTCACTCATTTAAGATTTTTTTTTTTTTTTGATTTTAGCTCATTTTTTAGTTTGAAATCTTTAATATTTTTTTTTAATTTTTTGAATTATTTTTTTAAATTATTTTTATTAATTTAATTTTTTTAGTAAATTATTTTGATCTTAACACAACCATGTTTTTAAAATTATAAACTCATTATAGGAATTTGTATCAGTTGCAGAAAAAAGCTAGAAATTTGAGTAAATAATTTGAACCATATTCAGAATTCCTTCTTTGGGACTCTCTCTCTCTCTGTCGCTCTCCTGGTCTCTCTTCAAATATTTGAAGCAAAAGCCTTTATTTTATGTGATTTTCTGGGGTCTAATAACAATTTCCGAACTTTAGATAAATTGTAGATAATTCAGATAAATTTTAGATAACTCAGATAAATTTATTGTAGACCGATATAGACCATTTTGTTTATTTTACATGAGTTTCTGGTGTCAAATATCAATTGTTGACCTTCAGATAAATTTTAGATAACTCAGATAATATCCATAGATGATTATCTGAGGCACTAATTTGACATATGGCTAATTTTTTACAATTCCTGGTGAATTATACGCACTCAGATAAATTTTAGATAATTTAGATAAATTTTAAATAACTCAGATAAATTCACAGAAAATTATCTATGGGCTATATTTTCGATTGTTGACATATATAAGTCATTTGTAGTATTTTATTTGAATTTCCGAGGGCAAATATTAACTTTGGACCTTCAGATAAATTTTAGATAACTGAGATAATATCCAAAAAGGATTATCTGAGGCTCTAATTGTGCGCATGGGCCATTTTTTCTAAGTTTTAGTGAATTTAAGTAACTCATATAAATTTTAGATAATTTAGATAAATTTTAAATAACTCAGATAAATGCATAGAAAATTATCTATGGGCTGTATTATCGATTGTTGACTGATATAAGTCATTTGTATTATTTTATTTGAATTTCCGAGGGCAAATATTATTTTTTGACCTTGAGATAAATTTTAGATAACTGAGATAATATCCAAAAAGGATTATCTGAGGCTCTAATTGTGCGCATGAGCCATTTTTTCTAAGTTTTAGTGAATTTAAGTAACTCATATAAATTTTAGATAATTTAGATAAATTTTAAATAACTCAGATAAATGCATAGAAAATTATATGGGCTGTATTATCGATTGTTGACTGATATAAGTCATTTGTATTATTTTATTTGAATTTCCGAGGGCAAATATTATTTTTTGACCTTGAGATAAATTTTAGATAACTGAGATAAAATCCAAAAATAGTTATCTGGGCTCTAATTGTGCGCATGGGCCATTTCTTTTCTAAGTTTTAGTGAATTTAAGTAACTCATATAAATTTTGGATAATTCAGATACATTTTAAATAACTCAGATAAATTCATAGAAAATTATCTATGGGCTATATTTTCGATTGTTGACAGATATAAGTCATTTGTATTATTTTATTTGAATTTCCGAGGACAAATATTAACTTTGGGCCTTCAGATACATTTTAGATAACTCAGATAATATCCAAAAATGATTATCTGAGGTTCTAATTTTACGTATGCGTCATTTTTTATAATTTCTAGTGGATTTTTGTCACTCAGATAAATTTTAGATAATTCAGATAATTTTTAAAAAGTTTATCTATTTGTGTAATATGCAATGGAAATATGTTTTAGACAATTCATCTAATTTTTAACCCAAAGATAACACTTAGATAATGTAGACAACAGCCTTATGCGATTATCTATGGTTCGAATTTTACATAAAATACAGGAATAAACAAAGTTTAATGAATTTTTGTGATCAAATATTAATTTTAGGTCTTCAGATAAATTTCAGATAATTCAGATAATATCCATAGATGATTATCTGAGGTTCTAATTTGACATATGGCTAATTTTTTATAATTTCTGGCGAATTTTAATCACTCAGATAAATTTTAGATAATTCAGATAATTTTTAAAATGTTTATCTATTTGTGTAATATGCAATGGAAATATGTTTTAGACAATTCATGTAGTTTTTAACCCAAAGATAACACTTAGATAATGTAGACAACAGCCTTATGCGATTATCTATGGTTCGAATTTTACATAAAATACAGGAATAAACAATGTTTAATGCATTTTTGTGATCAAATATTAATTTTAGGTCTTCAGATAAATTTCAGATAACTCAGATAATATCCAAAAATGATTATCTGAGGCTCACATTTTACGTATGGGCCATAACTTATAAATACTAGTGAATTTTAGTCATTCAGATAAATTTTAGATAATTGAGATAATTTTTAAAAAGTTTATCTTTGTGTCTAATATGCAATGGAAATTTGTTTTAGTCAATTTGAGTAAATTTAAACCCAAAGATAACACTTAGATAATTGTGATAATATTCATAGGTGATTATCTATGGACCGTATATTACATAGAAATCCGGTAAAAAAATTTTCAATAATTTTTAAATGTATTTTTGTGACAAAATACTAATTTTCAACCCTCAGATAAATTGTAGATAAATCAGATGATGATCATATGGTTGAAATTTTTCATATCAAACTATTACAAGTAATTTTTTGTAACAAAGTCTCAATTTTCGATCCTTAGATACATTTTAGATAATTCAGATAATTTTAAAAAAGTTAATCTATTCGTCTACTATGCAAAAGAAATATATTTTAGATAAGTTTTAGACATTCTATGCAATTTTCAATCCAAGGATAACGCTAAGATAATTGAGATAACAACCATAGATGATTATCTGTGGGTCATATTTCATACTGAAAACCTTCTGGTAACATTTTTATTAACTTTTAAAACATTTGTGTGATTAAATATCAATTTAAGACCCTCAGATAAATTGTAGATAATTCACATAATAATTATATATGATTATCTATGGCTCAAATTTGACATATAAAATCATGATATGCCATTCTGTTGTCATTCCAAGTGAATTTGCCCGATCAAATATCAATTTAAGACCCTCAGATAACTTTTAGATAATTCAGATAATATAAATATAAAAAAAGTTTATCTATATGTCTGCTATACAAAGAAAATAATTTTTAAACATTTTATGCAATTTTAACCCCAAAGATAATACTTAGATAATTGAGATGATTATCTTTGGTCCGCATTTTACTCAAAAGGCCGATATAAAGTATTTTAATCAGTTTTAAAATGCATTTAAAATCAAAAAAAATCAATTTCAGACCCTCAGATAAATTTTAGATAATTCAGATAAATCATCTTAAACCCATACATGTATCTCCTACACCTATAATACAAATATAAACTACATTTCGTATGTTTAATTGAATTTATGTGACCAAAATAGCAATTTTAGGTCTTCAGATAATTTCTAGATAATTCAGATAATATTCGTAGATAAGCATTTTGAGGAGTAGTATGCAAAGTATATCAATATAAGTCATTTAATATACTTTTAAGTAAATTTTTATGCCAAATTGGCAATTTCAAGACTTTAGATAAATCTAGATAATTTTCATAGATGATGATATAGAGGTCTATTATGTAAATTATAACTATTTGAGCAATTTGTAATAATATTTCAGGCATTCTTATGGTCAAATGATAATTTCGTACCCTTAGATAAATTATAGATAATTGAGATACATTTCGGATATGACAATTTATAACATTTCTATTAAGAGAAAATATATATAAACCATTTTTAATAGTTTTACGTGCATATTTATCACCAAAAGCAATTTTAGACCTTCAGATAAATTATAGATAATTGAGAAAATTTACATAGATAATCATATATAGGTCTATTATATATATATTTTATATTTCTGAGCAATTATTATTAATTTTTAATGCATTTTTATAGCCAAATGACAATTTTTGATCTTCAGATAAATTATAGATAATTGAGATAAATTTCACAAATGACCATTTATATGATTTTTATTACTACATGTATATAGGAAACCTCTTTGTGATCATTTTAAATGAATATCTTTCCCCCAAAAATAATGTTTGGTCCTCAGATAAATTTTAGATAATTTACACAGATGATCATATATGGCCCTATTATGCAAATTATATTAGTTTGAGTAATCCTTATTAAATTTTAATGAATTTTTGTGACCAAATAGCAATATCGGACCCTTAGATAAATTATAGATAATTGAGATAAATTACACAGATGACTATTTATACGATTTTTATTGATACAAATAAAGTGAGGAACCTTTTTAAATCATTTTTAAATGAGTGTCTGTTCCCAAAAAACAGCTTCAGGTCCTCAGATAAATTTTAGATAATTTAGATAAATTTCACAGATGATCATATATAGGTCTATTAGGCTAATTATATCGGTTAGATCTTTTTTATTGATTTTTAATGCACTTTTATGGCCAAAATGACAATTTCCAACCTTTAGATAAATTATAGATAATTGAGATAAATTTGGAAGATAACTATTTATATGATTATTATTAATAGAATATAAGTACGAACCAATTTGGATTAATTTAAAGTGAATATTTGTCGGAAAATGCAGTTTCATACCCTCAGATAAATTTTAGATAATTCAGATAAATTTCACAGATAATTATCTATATCCCTATTATGCAAATTATATCGGTTATATCTATTTTTATTGATTTTTAATGCATTTTTATGGCCAAGCTGACAATTTCGAACAAATTCCACAGACGATTATCTATAGGTCCTCTGTGCATATAAAACCAATATAAACCGTTTTTTCGTATTTTAAAATCGGTTTTGAGTGCCTAAATAGCATTTTTAGACCCTCAGATAAATTTCGTAGATGACCATATGTTAGCATTCTATACTTAGAAGGTTGATATAAACCATTTGAATTAGTTACAAA